CCATTTGGTCCTGCTGGCTTGAAAGAGGTCAAATTTTGCGTAGAGGCTATCGCTAATTTTTTCAGGACTTATTATTTTAATATATAATAGACTTATCAATTTTATAAGGCAAAAGATTTAAAGTAATATATTTATACATTAAAATTTTTGTAAATACGCAAAATACATTTATATTTTTAAATTTTAATAATTAATATTTTTTTCATAAACAAGAACTGACAGCTAAAACTTTTTAAAAATTACTCTGGAAAATATCATTAACCTTTAGACTGTCGGGAAAGCCACAAAAGTGGCTTTATAGCCACAAAAGTGGCTTTATAGCCACAAAAGTGGCTTTCCCGGCAGTCTAAAGGTTAAAAACATACATCAAGATCAAAATTATTGGAGCTGTGTAAAAGAAATAATTACTAAAAACTTTTAAGAAACTTTATTGTTGATTAAAAAATTAGAATTACTAATTTTAATCTCGTTAATTTCAATTGATAATATTGTAAAAGCAATTAACTCTTTTTACATGCGCGCGTGCACTACTGAAGATCGTAAATATAATTTTATCAATTTTAATTTATTAAAATTTTACTCAATAACAATGAAGACATTTTATTAAATGTAGATTATTACTTTATTAAAAATGTAATTTGCAGGCAGAATATAGAAATATATGTAATAGTTACATTTCTTAACTAAAATATCTCACAGCCCTTTAACACCGAGAGGCCGCTGTGCGATGTACCTGCTGCATCCCTCATTTGCAGATCCTTCTGAATGCGTATGTATAAGTGTTTCATGATTTTTTATTTAGGTGCAAGATGTTACTCACAAATTGGCTTCGTCGGATTGGGCAACATGGGCAGTCATATGGCAAAAAATCTATTGACGAAGGTAAAACGACAACTCGAACTTTCTGCTAATCAGCGGATTACTCGCGCACACTCGGCACACATTCAACGACATTATTCGCACGTATAACTCACCTAATCTTTCTGTTGTTAGGGTTACAAGCTCACCGTGTACGACGTTAACAAATCGGCAACGACGAGCTTGGTAGAAGCGGGTGCGAGTGTTGCGTCGAGCGCCGCTGATCTGTCGAAGGAAGTCGAGGTTGTTATTTCGATGTTGCCTTCGAACCAACATGTACTTGACGTCTACACCGGCCAGAAAGGTATATTAAGGTAAAACTCATTCCATTATTGATCCTGTAATTTTGATTTTCTTTTATTATTGAATTATCAGAAACGTCGAGTAATATTATTAATTAAATATCTTAAAAATCTAACTAATCAATTTCATTTTTATAAATATTTTGATTTTAAAATCAGAACACACGATTAGTGTCCAACTTGTTAAAATTAAGGAATTTACGAAAAATAAAACTGATCAATTAGGCTCAATTCTTGCGCGTAGTCAGTCTCACTGACAAGGAAACCCATACAAGTGTCCGCCTCCGATTTTCATAAACTTATAATATATTGTACTTTAGATCAAAATAACAGATATATTTTTTATTATATGTACCCTTTCGCAAGTTTAGGGGGGTGAAATATCCTTTTGAAGAAAATTGTTTTTTTTTCATTCGAAGGAAATATAATGGAAATTATAAGAGATAGAAAAAAAATATTTTGAATAAAAATTGAATGGTTTGAAAAGTACTTTACAGGAATTATTTGAAAAAAGAAAAAATTCTTTTTGTTAATATTTTCCCATCACTTATTATTATAATTATTAAATTAATTTCTGTAAAATACTCTTCAAACCATTCAACTTTTATCTAAAATATTTTTTCTATCTCTTATAGTTTTCATTATATTCCCTTCGAATGAAAAAAACCGATTTTCTTCAAAGGAATATTTCACCCTCCTAAACTTGTAAAAGGACACATAATAAAAAACGTATCTGTTATTTTGATCTAAAGTACAACATATTACAAGTTCATGAAAATCGGAGACGGACACTTGTATGGGTTTCTTTGTAAGTCTCTTTGGTTTCCACTCTCCGATGAAATATTATTACTCGAACAGCACACAGATATCCGAAAAATATCCTACAAAATATCCTACAAAATATCCTACAAAATATCCTACAAATATCCTTTAAAGATATTAAGTATATCCATAAGATATTTATTTTATGATCTTCAAACATATAACGGACGTCCATAACATATTCAAATATGAATTTGGTGGACATGGTTTATCCCTGATATATCCGTGTTAAGGATAAACAGATATATGTTGAACGTCGATTGAACATAAATTAGCAATTATGGATATACAAAACAAACTTCATATGGAAATGAAGTAAATATATGAAATAAATATCATAAAGAGAGATTACAGCCGAAATTTTTATTTATATTAGAAATATGAGAGAAAGAGAAAAATATTTATCTTAAAATAATATATTTATTTAAAAAAATTTAAATATTACATACATTTCTACTTTAATTTAAACAGACTTTTTAATTACTTTAAATTATCCTATATATTTAATTTATTATATTATTATTAATTTTAATACTACATAAGTATATATTTTTTAACAGCACAGGAGATTTATAATTTAAAAAATATACTTATTAAACAAACTAAGATACATATAATGATATTAATTATTCGATGGTATATATTTATTGTATTCTCACTAAAAAAGACTTAGAAGAAGCTGACAATTTATTTGTATATGTGTGTGTATGTGTATATGGAAGTCTATATGGAAAAAAAACAAGTTTACGCAGTTTTATACACATGTCATGCTACAATTAGCAATTTTTAAAAGAAGATATTGGATATGGTTTTCATATTAAAAAACATAATGTTGAAACTTGAAATACGTTATATTTTAATTACAATAACCAATAAACTTACTAGCTCTTACAGAAAAACAGTATGTTAATTCGCTATTGACAAGTGATTTGATTGAAAATAATTTGTTTATTTTATTAAGTCATTCCCCTTGTTGCGCCTTTCCTTTTGGCTAAAATCGGATATTTTTCTTTAATTGCTTTAAATTATTTAATTGTTGATGATACTTATCGGAATTGATCGTTTCGCCAACCGGTAGTAGCTCATATATTCTACATTTCACATAAATTTATCGACAAATTCATTGACAAGAATTTACTAAATATCGAAATTCTCTATTACACCAAATTCCATGAGACCAATGATTTTTAGCATTGGATCGATCCTTTCGGTCATTGTTGATTTTGTCTTCTAGTGCAGCGAAGGAAAACGTTTTGTTGATCGACAGCAGCACTGTGGACCCATCCGTGTCTCAATCGATCGCTGCGAAGGCTCGACGACTTAATCTGAGGTTTATCGATAGTCCTGTGTCAGGAGGTATACGCACATTATTAATAAAAAATTAATAGAATACTTAACTCTTTAAGATTTAGTATATTTATTGTATGTTCTATATTGTATGTTCTATGTAACAATAGGTCTGTTTTTTTTAGCTAATCTGCCTGACCTGGTAAAATAAGTGAAATAAAAGTTACAAAATATACTTGTTCATTCTAATTTATTACATCAGTGTGCACCAGTTCAGATAATTTAGCTAAAAAGAATAAACCTATTGTTACATTATAGATGGCGTTTAAATAAATGGTCACGTTCAGCGAAGAAAACTGCTCCGCTACCGCTCCGTAACAAACGTCTCTGATTGATACATCTCTCCAGTCAAAGGTTTAAAAGAATACTCCGATTATGAACATTCGCTACGGAGTGGTTGCGAAACAGTTTTCTCCGCTGAACGTGACCAATAATTGTTTAATGATGTAAAACACATAAATTTCAAACGATAATAATCCATTTAGTGGTAGTAAAATAACTCTTTTCTTCGATATAATCTCATATTAATTTGTCAACGATAGCAAGCAAATTATCGATGTTTCTTAAAAGAACAATTACCGAATTATGGTAGATGGATTTAGCCCTACGTCAGAAATGTGTTCGAGGTATCCGGGAAAAAAAGTTTATAGATTCTGTCCATGTATGGCCATATATAATTATATATATTCACATTAAAAAGTTGCTTTTATGAAAATATCATTAGAGTAAATACTTATGTTTGTAGTAACTCATGATGTCGATGTTTAAGTGAATCAAATTATTTAAAAATTTTCCTTGTTTTATTCAACATTATATTTGTTTTATAGAATATTATATTTGTTTTATATATACATATAATTATTTTATTGACACATTTTATATGACACATATAATTACATATGGTATGATATGATCATATGTAAGGCCAAAATTCATATATAGCCAATATTCATATACAGGGTGTCCCGCGTAAGACGGACCAAAAGAAAAATATAAGTAGAACACATAAAAGTGAATAAAAATTGTATAGATCATTTTTTAAACAACCACGTAAAATTTCGAGATATTAATTAAAATAGTTGGACAAATTAGATCGCGCGATGTAAAAGGCGGGACATACGGCTCGCAGCGGTTGGCGAAGAAAATGGAACAACGCACACATACACGGATGCACACACGGAGCTACTCATTTCAGTATGCCAAACGGCCCACCTCTCTGACCTATAAGATAGGCCCGCGAGCAATCATCCATTTTCTTCGCCGACCGCGGCGAGCCGTATGTCCCGCCTGCCATGTCGCCGCGCTCTGATATGCTCAACTATTTTAATTAATATCTCGAAATTTTACGTGGTTGTTTAAAAAATGGCCTATATAATTTTTGTTCACTTTTATGTGTTCTACTTATATTTTTCTTTTGGTCCGTCTTACGCGGGACACCTTGTATAGTCAAACAATTCATATATATTAATAATTATATATATTTTTATATAATTATATATGAACTTTTTCTTCACGAATAATTGTTACATGAAGCTACTCAAGCAAATTAAATATCATGTGCAGAATACGAATGATTTTATTATGACAACTGATAATATAAATAGCCGCATAAAGAATATATACAAAAAAATATATAAATATGTAATCATAGATGTATATATACTTATTTACAGGTATAAATGCGGCTAAGGATGGCACCTTAGTTTTCATGACGGGTGGCACGATAACAGATTTCGACGCTGCCAAACACGTGCTCGAAGCTATGGGATCCAGGGTAGTGCATTGCGGCGAAGTTGGCATGGGTCAAGCAGCCAAGTTGTGCAACAATATGTTGTTGGCCATTAGCATGATTGGCACTGCCGAGGCGTTCAATCTTGGACAAAAGTGAGAGGAAGGCATTTCGTTGTTTATCTGGAAATTTTGAGAAATCAATATATATATATATATATATATATATATATATATATATATATATA